TTTTTGTTTTCTTCTTTATTTTATTTTTCCTGTAACATTTTTCCCTTTTTTCACTTGAATACTTTGTTGAGTAAGAGCTCCCCCTGCTGGAATACTGTAAGAAGCAGCGAAAGAAAACTGGACTTGAGGACAGACAAATATATTTTATTTACAAAACACTACAATCCTTAAAAAACCCTTAAAGTCTTTAAAGAACGTTCACGTCTTCCTGGTCTTTGGTTTGGGAGCTGGAAAAAAGAAAGAAAAAATGAGGAAGAACAGAAAAAAAAGGAACAGAAAAGAACGATTTCACTCAAAGACAACGGCGTTCGTTGGTTCTTCACCGTTTGGATTTTCCTGTTTGTAGAAGGTCTTGAGCATCTCCACGGCTTCTTCTGCTCTGTGACCTGACACACACTGGAACACACGTCCCGCCACACTTTAGTACACACACATACACACAAACGAATCGGTACCAGGAACAAACGCTGACCTGGAACTTTGTCCCTGTTTGAGGTAAATCTGCAGAGGAAACGTCCAGAACCGAACCACAGCCGCCAAAACGATCGTTCCTGCAGCCGAACACCACCGAGGAGACTTCTGGGAGTTGGAGCGTCAAGGAAGGAAGGAGAGAAATGAAGAACAAGAAGAAAGAAGAAAAGTCTGAGGAAAGGATGGAAGGAAGTGTGGATCAGAAGGAGGGCTGAACGAGGACACACACACACACACACACACACACGGTAGAGTGCAGGATACGCAGCAGCCTGAGTGCAGCAGCACACATGACACATGGTTCCACGGTGACGTAGAGAACTGTTCTCTCACACACACTCTTCACATCCAGGTCTCTGTGTCCACACCAGTCCAGGAGCTGGTCCACAGAGACCATCTCAGCGTGACGGGTTGCCTGGGAAACGGTGCACAAACAAACACGTATCACAATGTTTAACCCAACATGTCGTCCAGTCTGACTGCGCTGTCTGTCTGTCCGTCTGTCCGTCCGTATGACTGCGCTGTCTGTCTGTCTTTCTGTCTGTCCGTCTGTCTGTCTGTCCGTCTGTCTGTCTGTCCGTCTGTCTTTCTGTCCGTCCGTCTGTCTGTCTGTCTGTGTCAGTTCTTCCTACATTTTTGCTCTCGTTCACTTCGTTGCGTCCTTTTCCAACCACCTCGCTGTTGTAAACCATCAGACATCCAACTGGAACCTCTCCCTTCTCCAGAGCTTCTTTGGCCTAAAATCAGGCGCAGATTCACATGGTATTCACTCCGTTAGTTGTTCTCATTTAACAACAATCAGTCCAATTAAAAACTAGTTCTATTAAACTCAAACAGTGACAGACAAACGTTTAGTCACGGACAGTTACAGTACAAATATAAATACAAATATTTGATCGGTAGTTCATCCAACGTGAGTGAACGTTACAAACCATATTAAAAGCCTCGTTCATCCATTTATCTATTTCCGGCTCACTGGGATAATGATTCTGGGCTGTAAATGTAGACCCACTCTCAGTTTTGGTTTCCATAATTCAAAACAAAACAAAACTCTGTAATCAACTCTGCAACAACGCGGCGACCTCAGGGGGAAGATAATATTGAACGGACCACTTCCTGCTTCACACATGAACAGTCGATCCCTGATTAATCGATCCCCTATGTTGCTCTGGTCTCGATTATTACATTTGTTACATGTGTTAAGGTATATAAAATGGACTCGGTTCATTCCGGAAGTTGTGCCAAGAGGCGCTATGATTCCATGGTATGGTATTTGTGTATCATAACTAACGGTAAACTATAATTTTATCTATAGTTAAATCTATAATCAATAGTTGTATTACTAATAGAGTCTGCTACGGTTTTATTCGCAACATTTCCTTCTGTACCTTTTGTTATTAAAAAAGTAGGCATTTAGCAATGACGCCTTCTCTTTTGAAACATAACCGGAAGTTGTAGCTGTTCTTATTCTAAGCGTGCGTTGTTTGACAGAACTGTCAGCGATTAAACGATAAAACTATGAAGTGAAACATGTCGGTTAAAGAGTCGACGCGAAGATAAAAGTGTTTGTTCATTATTACTTACAATTTTTGAATTATTATCAGTTCCACGATGTTTTCCTCCGCTTGGAACTTTATCAAACGTCACAAACGGAAGTTTATTTTTACCGGAGCTGTACTTGGAGGTAAGTGCTGCTGCTGTTAGCTGCCGTGCTAATAGACGTTAGCAACACTGCAAACTTCTTATATACTAATGTTCGTCAAACATTTAGTCTGATTGTGTTTGACTAAAATATTATAAGTCAGTTGTTCATGAGAATTTATATATGAACCGCGGTGTTCGGTTAGTCTCCTAAATAAACAATGTTGAATATTTGTTTAGTTTTTCACTTTGGAGCAGCTGTTTCCACAGGGAAGGAGTTTAACAGACTTCAGACGCGAACTCTTCTTCGTTTGTAATGATTACGTCATCGTGATTATTGAGACTGCGAATGTGTGCATCGACGGAACCTCAAACTTTTCTATTGTTGGTTATAATGTTGTTTTCGCCGCTTTGTGGTTTGTTCTTCTTCGTTGGTGGCTCCTTCAGGAGTTTACTTCCTGGGAAAATATGCACAGAAAAAGATCAGCGAGCTGCAGGAGAAGGAGGCGTCGGAGTACATCTCTCAGGCCAGGAGACAGCTCCACTTTGAGAGTAATCAGAGGACGTGCAACTTGACGGGTGAGTGCTGAGAGTCAGAGTCACACTGGACGATGTCACTGTCCCTGTTGAACGTGTGTGTGTGTGTGTGTGTGTGTGTTGCAGTGCTGTCCATGCTGCCTGCTCTGAAAGAAGCCATCGTTGCTCAGCTGAACTCAGAAGGTCTCACTGCGCTGCTCAAGACAAAGTAAGGACAGAAACATGTCTGCTGACCTCGACTTGTGACCACTCTTCTC